ATCGGGGCGCCTGGGTGGCTCCGTCGGTTAAGCGTCCAACTTCGGCTCATGTCATGATCTCACAGTTTGTGAGTTCGAGCCCCACGTTGGGATCTGTGCCGACAGCTCAGAGCCTGGAGCCTGCTTCGGATTCTGTGTCTCCCTCTATCTCTACCCCTGAGCTGCTCATGCTCTGTCTCTCTCAGTCTCAAAAATAAATAAAAACATTAAACAAAAAAATTTTTTAAAAGCCACTCATCAGGTGCGGAGGACTTTTTAATGATTTATTCCCCTGATAACAACCAAAGACCTGTCGTTTCACCAGCTCTGACCCCTTGCCAGGCGCTATGTGTCATTTGTCCTGATGTCCCTACCCAGCACTGGCAGTAAATGCCCAAAGGACGTATGAGAAAAAGAGAGATCAGACGGGGTCACCCAGACAAGATGCACCAAAAAATCATAAAGGAGACTCTGTGCTACGAGAGGACTCACTGAGAATAACTTTAATAACTGTTCCTTGAGGAAGCTAACGAGGGAGAGGTGTGGGAAGGGAGAGACGCTTAAGAAGGAGGGTTCAATTTATACAAATCTGATGACTTTGAACTCCCAAGGAAGCACCCCAGGTTGTACTAAGCAAGGCTGACCCTTGGCTGCGGTCAGACGCCCAGGTGGCCCCCTGGAGCTGGGGCTGGAGTCCTGGTGGGAGGTGAGGAGAGGCCGTGGGTAGCGGGCTTGGAGGAGGGAGTGGACGGGTGAGTCAAGGCCCGGCCCGCCACAGTCCTGCCCCTGGCCCCTGGGAGCTTGCCTCCCTGTGTCCGGGCCGGGCGAGGGGTTAATGCTATGGCCAGCGGGGAGGCCTGGCGGGCCCAGCGGGTTCTGTGGGCCTGGGCTCAGTGGGGCGGGTGGCGCCGCTCGGCCAGGCTCCCGCGGCCCAGCACCTCCCCGCTGAACTGGTAGGTGAGCTTTTTCTTGACCTTCTTGACCTCACCCGTCTTGCCATAGTTGCGCAGGGCGCGGGCCATCTTCTGGTAGGTCATTTTCTTGCGGTTTCCCTTCTGGATGCCCCAGCGGTGTGCCAGCGCCTCCTTGTGCTTGGACGAGAACTGGAAGGTGCCCTTGTCCTTGTCCACCCACCAGATGCTGTCCTTCATGTCCCCGCTGCGGAGCAGGTCGAGCAGGAACTGGTACAGGCGGATCTTCTTTTTGCTGCCTGTGGGCGGGAGGTGGTCAGTGCCCTGACACGGGCACTCGCCCTCACCTCCCCCTGATGTGGGTCCCCCTGGGGGTGGCTGGTCACTGGGGAGGGACTGGTGGTGGGGGGTGGTCTACCGAGGAGTGGGCTCCCTCACCCCACGCCTGGCACTCACACCCGCTCACACCCGTTCACACGCAGCCCGGAGAGGTTCAGACACACACACACCCTCCCGGGCTCGGTCACAGATGCACTCCCATCGACACACGGAGAGGTACAGATGGTCTCAGATGCAGTGCGCACTTTAGCAAACGTTGACACGCTCACAGGTACGGACACCACACTCAGCTCTGTGGTGTGACTGCTGTGCCCTTGGCTGGGGTGCGTGGGGCACGTCTACGGCCAGGGTCAGGGCTGGGCCGGACGGCGGGGCCGCCCTACCTGTTTCCCCATGCAGGAGGCCAGGCCCTGGCTCCAGGCCATCAGCCTCCCCGTCAGACACCTCCAGCGGGGGGCTCTGCCTCTCGCCCTCCTCCTCATCCGAGCTAGGCTGTGCCGGGGACAAGGAAGGGTATGGAAGGCACATCCGGGGTAGGTAGGGGACCTGGAAAGGCAGGGAAAGTGGGTTGAGGTCAGTGAGGGCCGGTTCACAGCTCAGAGCTGCTGAGGAGGGGCCATCTGAGCAAGAGAAGTGGGAGTAAAGAGGGGGGCAGGCCAGCAAGGGGCAGAAAGGTTTGCGAGAAGGCTGGGGAAGTTGGAGGTCAGTCGGGTTGCAGGGGTCAGGTAGGGTCAACTACACATGGGGAGTGGGTTGTGGGGGACCAGGGGCTGCTGGAATCAGGCCCTCCTTGGGCTCCCAGTTCAGAGCCTCGTGGCCAGGGGAAAGGGCACCCTTTCTTCATATGCACAAAGGTGGCCTGGCATTCTTGGGATCAGAGGTGGCAGTGAAGAGGGGCCAATGGGATGGTCGGGTGTGGGAGCTACCGGGATTTAATAAGTGGGTGAACAGTGAGAGAAGGGCCACCAGCGGTCAGCTAGGGGTGGTAGAGGTTAACGGAGGTCACTGATCGGGATGGGGGCGTCCGTGGGGCTGAGGAGGGTCAATGAAGGGGGTCAGTGGAGGCCAGTGGAGGTCAGTGTCCAGCGACTAGGATCCACGAGGGGCCGGTGGATGGGGATCACAGTGGGGATCAGGAGGGCCGTTGAGGTCAGGCAGCTCACTGGAGGGTGGGAATTATCGGGGCTCTGTCCATCGCGGAGCCAGAGGAGATAAGGGTGTGGGGTCACGAGGTCAGTCAGAGGGTCAGGAGGCAGCCGTTGGGGCTCCGGCCGCCGTTGGCGCTGTGGGGCAGGAAGCCGAGTTGAGTAAGAGCCTGTGTCAGCTTCCTGTGAAGCGCCGGCCTCACCACAGGCTGGGTCCCACGGGAGCCGAGGCCGCACGCACCTGGTGGCCGATGCCCGCGTGGGTCGGTGCCATGGGGGTGTCGAGCACGTGCATCTGCTCCAGCTCCATGTGGCGGTAGAGCTGCTGCAGCTGGGGGGGCTGCACGCTCTGCAGCTCCGTGAAGTGGTTCTCGGTGAAGCTCTCGAACTCGCTGTGCACGTGGTGCGGGTGAAAGTCCCAGTAATGGTCTGCAGGGACGGCCAGACGGCGTGCAGTGAGCCCAGGGCGCGGGGCGGGAAAAGGTGACCACAGTGGAGAAAATAGCGATGTCAGGCCACAGGGGGCTATTGGCACCGGCCGGGCCGGGCTCCGGGTTGACATTCGTTCGCCCCCGCCCCCACCTCGCTATTTACCATCCCCATTTTACAGATGAGGACACCGAGGTGTGGCAAGGCCGCATAACATGCCCGCAGTCAGAGGCCCCGTCGATGGCAGGCCTGAGCCAAAGCCGGCATTCCCGGCAACCCTTTTGTCCCGTGTCCAGGCGGTCACAAGGACACGGGTCCTGGCTCTGCCATTCACTTTCTGTGTGACCTCAGGCACATGCACGGACCTCTTCGGCCTCAGTTGACTCACTTGTAAAATGGGGATA